TCGGCAAAGGAAATATATCTTAAGACGAATTATGCCAATTATGCCGGGTCCAGACCAAGCAGACAAAACAACGACAAGACAGAAACATTCATGTTTGACGACAAAATTGCGACAAATCCAATACATTTCTGCGACATTTTTGTTTTGTTTCAAAATTCGGAGACTTTTCAATGTCCCGTCTCGAGTCGGTAAAGATCAAAGTGCCTATGGTTTGTTCGTCTATTTTACGACAAGTTTTCGGCGCAGTGTGGATGGCGTGTGCTGCTAACAGTAGGAGATAAGTGAAATTTCACACAAGTTTGTCTTGTCAGAATTCCCCATTTTTTGTCGCAAGTTTGTCTTGTTTTTGTCTCGAAGTTTTCGGCGCAGTGTGGATGGCGTGTGCTGCCAACAGTAGGAGATAAGTGAAATTTCACACAAGTTTGTCTTGTCAGAATTCCCCATTTTTTGTCGCAAGTTTGTCTTGTTTTTGTCTCGAAGTTTTCGGCGCAGTGTGGATGGCGTGTGCTGCCAACAGTAGGAGATAAGTGAAATTTCACACAAGTTTGTCTTGTCAGAATTCCCCATTTTTTGTCGCAAGTTTGTCTTGTTTTTGTCTCGAAGTTTTCGGCGCAGTGTGGATGGCGTGTGCTGCCAACAGTAGGAGATAAGTGAAATTTCACACAAGTTTGTCTTGTCAGAATTCCCCTTTTTGTCGCAAGTTTGTCTTGTTTTTGTCTCGAAGTTTTCGGCGCAGTGTGGATGGCGTGTGCTGCCAACAGTAGGAGATAAGTAAAATTTCACAAAAGTTTGTCTTGTCAGAATTCCCCATTTTTTGTCGCAAGTTTGTCTTGTTTTTGTCTCGAAGTTTTCGGCGCAGTGTGGATGGCGTGTGCTGCCAACAGTAGGAGATAAGTGAAATTTCACACAAGTTTGTCTTGTCAGAATTCCCCATTTTTTGTCGCAAGTTTGTCTTGTTTTTGTCTCGAAGTTTTCGGCGCAGTGTGGATGGCGTGTGCTGCCAACAGTAGGAGATAAGTGAAATTTCACAAAAGTTTGTCTTGTCAGAATTCCCCATTTTTTGTCGCAAGTTTGTCTTGTTTTTGTCTCAAAATCGTGGTTACTTTTTGTCGTCTTGGTCTGGATAGAAACATCATCCTTCTTCAAGACAATTCTAGATAACACATAGAAAGGCAGACTAGGACATAATAATTCATCACCTGAGCAAAGTGCGCCTTTCAAATGCTCTTCATGTAAATGGGAGAAACAGACACAAATACATTGATGAATTCAATGAGTATACTTCAAATACATTTGTTAGTCCCGACTGGTCCAATAAAGCAGTTATTGCTACTTCCAGAGGGCAGCTTTTAAGCAGCAGTTCTGTTGTAGTTAAAAGTTTACGATTATTCAAGTAGTAGGGAAAACAGGGTCGATAGTGATTTTGCACATTTTAAGTAGCTCCTCAAAACAGAAATCACTGGAAAGCAGCATTTACTAAATGCAGCTGAAAAATAGCAGTCTGCAATTAGCAATCCATTGCTACCTTGGAACTATTTCTTGTTTAAGTCTTTGTAATAACGAATCGCTTAAAGAAAAACGATTTGAACGAAATGAAGATGGCTTCCAAAACACGTATTATTCAAGCGTTCGGTATTTCAAGCATTGAGAAATGCTGATGGTATGATTTATGTATAACATCAAATCAAGAAAAGGTTTCAAATGAAATGAAGATACATATATTGTGTAAAGCACCTATGTAATTGAGTTTTCAAGCATTGAGAAGTGCTGATGACATAATTTGTGTAACAACATTGATTTCGAAAAAAAGTTTAGAACGTATTGCGCATTTTTTGACGTAATATACTAATTCATACCATATTAGAATTAAAATACTTCTAGTTCCTATCTCTTCTCATCTTCTCAAACATTTTTTGCTTTTTCACGATTTTTCGAAATGATGTTCATCCAAAGGTCAACTCAAAAAGAAATTTATTGGTTTAGAGAGCCGCCAATACTGGACAATACAAGTTATTTGATTACAATCTCATGGCAAATTGACTTATAAGACTATAAGTGCTCGTATATCTCTCAAAAATAGAATAAAAATCTATAACTAGGTATATAATAATTATAAGTAACAAATGTAAATAACTGGTAAAGAATTAATAAGAATAAGTGTGTTATTTCTAATTTGGTAGGAATTACAATTTTGTTTTGTCAATGAACAGAATACAACATGAAATATGTATGTTTTTTTCACAGTACAATATATCATGTTATGATATTATCTTAGACTAAATACAAACACATTTTGTGATACAATTAAAATGAGTTATAAAACAAACAGAACAAAAAATTGCAAATATTAAATACACACTACAAGAGTCACCACTTGGTTGTAAATTTTTCAGAATGTCATGGCCTTGGTTTTCGATGGCTGTACAGAAGGTAGGCATAACATTGGGAATGTTCTCTGTTTCCATAGGAGGGATATCACTAATTTCGACAACCTAAAATTTACTAGTATATTTACTAAAAACGTGAGGATTTTGTCAGATAAAAAATCAATCATCAAATGTTGGTTGGTTGGTTAGTTAAAGTGGCAAATACAACCGCTTGTCGAACTCCAATTAGCAGAATTGTCGTCTTTATATACCACTCATTACGTACTTCAAATTTTCTAAACAATATGGACTGATCTCAGCCACACCCTAAAACTCATATTTAACAAATACTGATGACGTAACGGGGAACAATGGCTAAAAAGTCTTTATATGCATATACATACATTGTATAAGTATAGTTGGTAAGTGTGAATAGTATTCTTAATAAAAACATTTTCTCTAAAGAGAATTAAGAAAGGTAAAGAAGCTATATAAACTAGCGATGGGAATAATCGAATTATTTTCACCATCGAATAATTAGTAATAACTCATATTTCACAATCGAATTAATAATTCGAATTATTTAGTAGAATTATAAATTTAACCTAAAAATAAATTCGTCCCAGCTAGTGCTCGTCTAGGGGCTATTTTAAACAAATTCTGAACCATTGCCATACCTATATTCTATCACTGAATAAAGAATAAAAAAAATATTCTTTATTCAATGTATTCTATTAACTGTGCCGAAGCCGTTTAATAAATTCAACCATAATTTAAAGTTTTAAATTTAAAAGTGCCGAGTTTATAATTGTTATTGTTATGGCCTTTTATAAACATTTCAATTCCTATTGAAAACCTCCTCTCTAAAATTTCTTCTAAAACGATATAAGTATATCCTTGTTTACGTGCGGTTCATATTTCTTTTTATTTTATCAGTGAGATGGAAATGAACCAAATAATAGTTGTATTCTTTCGTTCTGAACGAAATGAAAATTTTCACTTAAACTGATTTATTCCTACGTGATATAGGAACAATAACAATGATTTCTGGATTTTTCTATATCGGATCGTTCCTTCCTTTGTCGATTCCCTTTATAAATCAGTTTAAGTGAAAATTTTCAGTTCGTTCAGAACGAAAGAATACTACTAATAATATTAATTCTCTGACTAATTACTAATATTCGTCCATAAGAGGTTATGTTTTATGTTCATTTGTAATTCGGTTACCACAGATATAATATAAAATACTACTAATTTTTATCTCGATTATATCGAAAAAGTTAATCGAATTAGTTAGTTTTAATTTACTATCGAATTAGTCGTATTATTTAATTCGAATTTTCCCAACACTAATATAAACACAAAATCGACAAAACGATAATCATATATAAAATAAAAATGTATCACATATGTCATGACCTTCCATTTATTTATTTAAAATGATATATTCGGTGATTCTCTCCAGAAACACCCATAAAATTGGAATAGCAAATGAAAAAAATGTAAAACAGCAATTGTTACATCAAGTTACATGGCCGATGAAGCATATTGTAGCCATCAATATCGGTCAATTTTATCAATGAAATATTCCAGTCACTGAAATACCTGAGATACTATTAGAAAATGTACTGCAATGACATCGTAATTTTAACCATAAATAATTAAATTATATCACATTGGGTCATGACCTCGCTCATGACCTTTCATACATTTTATTTATTTAAAAACAAGCGACAGATATTCGTAAACGTTAATATCATTTTTGTAGAAAAATGTCTATTTCTAAATACACTAGGTAATCAATATCAAAAAACAATACACTATTCGATGATATTCAAACAGCAATGTTGCAGCAAATAATATCAATCGATTTGATTAATGAAATCGGTATTCCAATCATTGAAATATCCACGTTACTATATATTAGTAATTACTCTGCAATAATACCAAAGTCTTTTAACAACCACATATAATTAAATTATATCACATTATGGGTCATGACCTTTCATTTTTTATTTAATTAAAAACAAGATATTCGTGAACGCTTCAATATCATTTTTGTAGGAATACGTTTAATTAAATAGCTCTTCAAAAAACACCAACTAGGTACTTCAAATCGATGACAATCAAACAGCAATTGCTCCATGGCCAACGAAATGTACCGCATCAAACAATATCAGTCGATTTGATCAATGAAATAATCCATATCAATGAAATATCTACGGTACTATTAGTAATTATTCAACCAACCCAAAGTATTTTTGGTATAACCATGTACCTATAATTAAATTATATCGTATTATGTGTCATGACCTTTCATTTTTTATTTATTTAGAAATAAGCGAAAGATATTGGTGAACGTTTCAATACAATTTTGAAGGAATACGTTCATTTAAATGGCTCTTCAAAGAACACCAACAACTCCAAATCGATGACAATCAAACAGCAATTGTTCCATGGCCAACGAAACGTACCGCATCAAACAATATCGGTCGATTTAATCAATGAAATATTCCAATCATTGAAATATCCGCGTTACTACTAGTACGATCCCGCCAGACCTAGTACAATTTCTAGTACCGAAAATATCGCGCTGGCAGCAACGCCAGAGACCATCATCAACCGTCCACTTACCTTTCTCGTTTGGTTTAGACGTCGTCCAGCATTTTTCACTGGTTTTTCCACTAAAATTAACCTAAAAACTGCACTCGGAAAGGGGTGGCGACCCGGTTTGCACCCGGTGGGCGGTATTCAACTGTTGCTCTGCGAGCGCCGCGCACAACCGCCGACAGCCGCCATGTTTTAATTCCACGGCCTACACCACGATTCCCGTCCGTCCGTCGCTCATTTCGTCACAATTTTGACGTTACCGCGGGCTGATTTCGGCACCGAACCCAAGAAATTAACCGATACCGATGCAAACGGACGCGGATGACTTCGAATTCGCGCACTGGAATTACGATTTAATCCTTTTGGAAGCAACCTTTTGGTAACGATTTCGATGGCCTTCTGCTCTCCGCGCTCCGACGTTGCCGCACGGCGTCGACGTTGCCACGTGAACGGGGGACGATCGCTGGTCAAGCATCTAAAAATGTTTGGACAAAAATATCGAAATAATATGAAGAAGTTCAAAAACATGATAAGCGCCACTTTCTTAATTTTAGGGTTTTACAATATTATAGTAGGCGGAGTAGGCGAAACAAAATATAAGAAAGAAAAAATCAAATGGACAAAAAGAATAAATATAAATTTTACATCACTTCAAAATTATAAATGAAATCTACACCTGATTCAAAAAACTCATAGTATTATATGAGTTTATTCAAAGACATCTAAATGGGTAGACAGAACACTCCATTCATAAAACTCAATTTTTTAGAATCATACATGGTTTGACACTTTTATGTTTTATGAGAGTTAAAAATAGATGGGTACATTATATGACAACACGGTTGAGTTTCGTCTATCTTTCTGTCATTTGGCTCTATCAGTGGCGTGACGTTTTTTTATCAAAAATTGATGAATTTGTTGTTTCTCCCTTTATTTAGATGTCTTTGAGTTTACTACAATAATATAGTAGGTCTAACTGCTTCCTACAAAATGCATAAACTCTGCATGGTAATAAGCTGTTACATCCTATGATATATGACTAGTAAAAATATACATACAGAAAAGAACCTGAAAACTAGGAAAACCTGATAACCACCAGCCATCCAGGGAAATAACTTGAAGTCCATTTAATTGCGTCATTTTTTTCAGTATACATATATACAGTTTTCAAGTTGAGTCCTCTGCCCTGTATGTTATACCTGTATATTAATATAACTGTAAATTTTTTCCCGAAAGAACCCTTAAAGATCTACACTGCCTCATGTCTGAGTGTATTTGTATAACATTATTTTAGTTTGTTAGGCGTTTATATATTTTCATTAATTTTTTTCTGATTTTCAAAGTTTAGTAATTGTTTTATTTCCCGTTACTGTAATTAATAAACCTACAAAACATAATTATTACAGGTATAGTAGTTGTCACATATGCTCTGAAGCGTTTTCTGGCTCTCGAAATCGAGGTACCCATTTTGATATCTTCAGAAGGTCTAATTTGTATTATAATTTACTAATCCAGTTAAAAAAAAATTTAGACGAGTTCAACTAAGGCAGCGAGCATAGTTTTAATCACCGGTTTTGCTAGTGGGGCATAATTGGGGCTATTTCGGCTATAACGAAATTTTTTAAAGGTACACAATTATAATTTTAAAAGATGTTCATAAAACATTTATCACTAGTTGATTAAAAAAAGTATACCATTAATATTGCAAATTATATTTTATCCTCTCATAGTATATAGGTTTGTTCTCACAGCGTGTTCCCCACATGTTTGTGACTTCTTCCAAACCGGTGTTAATGCGCAGGTCTCAAATAATGCAGTTTGTTGTCGATTTCAAACTGTCCGTGCGAAGAGCGAATCCCCTACTCTTCTTTTTTGATCTAATAATACCACTAATTTTAACTCCTACATAATACCGAATAAAGAAGAAAACGAACAGGAATTAACCAAAGACATCTTTTAATGTTTTTGGTTTTGTTCTTTTTAATGTTTTAATGTTTTGTAATTTTGATTCTTGGGCCTGACCCGTTCCTTCATCAGCTCTTCTAGGTCTGTGTCTGTATCCGAAAATTCGGACGCCTCAGATTCTTCGGAAGATTCAAAATCGCTCATTTATTTTCTTTATTTTTTGAAGAAAAAAAAACAAAAACAACACACGTTTTGTAGATTAAGTTTAATGACGTCGAGTCGCCAATGAATGACGTCGAGTCGCAATACGCATGCGCCGGTCACTTACTTACAAAAGATCCGCGAACAAGTCTGACTGTCAGCTAACAATCAGAATTCTGTGCGAACAGCGTAATGTTGGTTGGAAACCAATCAAAAATTTCTGTGCGAACGCGTTTTACCCTATTGCGCATGATTATCTGTTGGAAATATGTTTCTTACAGCTGTGAGAACAAACCTTATGTCTATTTAATTTTTTGATTATGTAACGAGCACTTTGTTTACTCACTTGTTTTGTCGAACTGCTTGAATCCATTTTTGCTTTTGATCAAATCAAACTTGTTGTTTTTAACCAGTTTTATTGGTTTATTTAAAAAATGACACATCATATTTCAGTTTTATTGGTTTGACGGAACGATGAACGACAAACGGACGCCGATGCGTATGAACTCGCCTTTAGATTTTTGAGACTTGTCAGAGTGTTGCCAAATTATAGGTTATAATTTTGTGTCAACTTATGTCAAATATCTGCGTTTTGGAAGATGATGCATTTTGATTCGTGTTATTACGTGTGTTTTGTGTCTTTTGAAGTCAAGTGAAGGAAAAATCGAGAGAAAATTAACTATAGACCCAGAAGGACAGTTTATAGTTAATACTTGCTGCCTAAAGTCTTATACACCAATAAAGTTTGTATACCATCTCGTCGTAGATAAGTGCATCTCGTATATGATACAAGGATTATCGTACTAAACATATACTAAAAACTGGAGTAGCTGTAAAATATCGACATCACACGATAGGTACATAATGGATTTTAGTACTGCAGAAAAATAATGTCAAATGGCACGGGTAAAAATTAAGATTAAATTTGATTAATCAACTTTTAAGGTATGAAATTTGGTAAGTGTTATTATTAATAAAATAGTTTGTTTTTTTTATTTATGTTGTTTTATTTATTCCTGTGGAATATTACAAATTTGTATTTGTACATAAGTTATAAGTATTGTTAAAAATAATAATAAATGCCGGAAGTTACTTGAAGCTTGAAAGTAGGAAATAGTTCTTTTTTTATATTTTTTTGGTATGTGGTGTTTTGTTCTTGTTTGTTTTGTATTAAACACATACCGTTTTTTTTTAAATAAAATAACTCGATTACATTTTTTCAGTTTCATACAGCTTTTTTTTCCAATATTTTGCGTTCCAGTTGTACCAACTTATTTCTTTGTAAAAGAAAATAAACTACTTATACTAAACTACTAAATTACAGACTCATCTATCACTGTCAAGGATCTTGTCGTTGAACAGACTACTGATAATTTTTGACTTTTGCCGTAGAAGTGCTGCGGTCGGAATTGTCGTCCAAATCAACTGAAATGCAACAAGCCTATCTATATTCCACGATTCAAGGAATTAAAGGCCGAATTATGGCCGACAATACCGAGCTGTGCGCCCGCTGCGTGACGGCTCAGGTTGTTGAATGGGAGAATTCATGAATAAAATTACCTAAGCATTTTTATTCACAAATTGCTTAAAATAGACTGATGGTATTTAAGAATGAGAGCCGGAGTTCGGCGAATAGTGAAGATATAGATACCACTATGATCTTGTTGTCAATATGTGCAATTTTTTTTAATATAATTTTTCTATTTTGTAAAAAAAATAAACTTTTAGCACTTGTTTAATACAAGAGTTCTTCGTTTTGTTTACACGTGTGTTACGTTTCCTGAAAATACCATGTAAATCGAAACCGCCTATATTGAAACAAACTTTAATCACATAAACTATAAGGTGTGAGTTTTAAATAAGTATAAGTATTTGCGTATGTAATGTAAAGTAATGTATTTCGACCCTAGAAACACGTCTATGAGTTTTTTTCGTCATTTTTTTGTGTTTTTGGAAAAAAAATGGAAAATGTTTAAATTTTCGGTTAAAAACTCACAATGTCAAAAGTTGACATATTGCGGCGACTTTTTAAAAGGTTAGGAAAAATTATAAAAAAGATGGAGGAAGGAAAAGTATCTGCTGGCGGAAGGAATGCATATGTTACTAGTGATTTTATCACACATGTGATATGTAAGTACAATTGCTTGTTGGCCTGAAGGGTTTATGCTCAAAGATATCCAAATAGGAATCTTCCAGATAAGCGTTCCTTTGAAAAACTAATTTTCCTATTTCGCAGAGCTCATGAAAAACCTATTAGGCAGAAACCTGTTGTTGGAAGTGAAGAAAATAAATTTGCCTTATAACTGTTATAAATTTAAATAATGTCCATAAACTAATGTCGATTTTGAAAATAGCTACTTAGTGTTACTAGAAAATTGCCATGGCGACACCAGCCATCTTGATTACAGTTTTATTGAAAAATCGTTTTTTATTCAAAATCTGAGCCAGATAGGTATAGGAAACCCTAATATAGTTTGAAAGAGTATTTCCTAAGTCTGACCTCTCTTCATCATCACTACTAGATTGTTCATAGATGTATTCAATTTCATTTTCTTGTTGAATTTCATTTTGATTTTTAATTTCTTTTCCCTTCTTATCTGTCTCATTCTCTATATTTTCCAGTTCTTGATCCTGCAACAAGTCCTCACTCATTTTTTTCTTCACCAACTTCATATTTTCACCTTTCGGTTTTTTAAATATTACATCTCTTCGAATTTTTACCTCTTTCTTTTCTTCATCCCACAACCTGTATCCGTTTATTGCATATCCAATAAATAAATATTTTTCACTTCTTTCATCTAATTTCTTTAAGTATCCTAAAGTTTTCGCATAAGCTTCACTGCCAAATATTTGCATTCTTGACAAATCAGGTTTCTTGCCTGTCCACATCTCAAAAGGTGTTTTATTTCCTAATGATTGTGTTGGGCTTCGATTCAGAATATACGTTGCCTCTCTGACGGCTTCTCCCCAAAAGGATTTTGTTATTTTTGCATCAAAATGTTAGGAAAAATTAAAAAGAAAACCGGGAGCGTACGGCTGCTCTTCGTCTGGTGAACCATAGGTGTAGGTTCATTTAATTATTTTTGCATATTGTTGGGCACCACTTAATTTAAGCCAAGTTAAGGTGATATTTAAAAAATTAAGAAAATTACCACAGGCTAAAGATGTTCAGTAATGATATATTCAAATTAAAACGACAAAATTTAATAAAAAACTATGTACATTTATTAATAATTAAATAACTCCAGTTTGAAAGTGAATTAAAAAGTCATTAAAAAAACAATAAATTAATATTATA